CGGAGACAGGCTATGTTTAAATGTCTTATTCTGTTGTCTTGGGGCTTACGCTTCGACCGGGACTTGATAAGTACAGCCAGTTACAGTTCGCGGATTACGCTTCGACCGGGACTTGATACATTGTAAGTGCAGCCAGTTACCGTCCGCAGATTACGCTTCGACCGGGACTTGCTTAGTTTAGCTTATTTACAATGTTGTCTTGTGGTTTACACTTCGACCGGAGATATGCTAAACTAACATTTACATAAAATGCTATTGGTTATCGATCTGGAATTAAAACTACTCTGGCCGTAGGATAACAAAAGAATTAAACTTGCGCTGGTGTAAGATTTCATTCATTTTGTGTCTGACTTATGTGGCAATAAATTTGATGATTTTAATATATGTTATTTATTTAAAGTTTGTTTTTAGTTTACTCTGAGTTGTTGCTACTACTGTCAAATCCTCCTAAAGTTTGCAATGCTATTTTGCTTGAAACAATACTTGCATTGTTTGAAATCTTTAACACTGCATCATCAACTTTATATCTGACGCTGGCACTGCAAGACAAAGATCCGTGTGTGCCGTAATAGACGTTTTTGGGGCAGATTAATGAAACGTCGCAGTGTTTACCAATATATTTGTTGAGTTGATCTTGCGATATTCGATTTTTATGATGGTCAAACAACAAGGTCGTACTTTGTAACTTGACATACATGCGGGTTTTTTTGTGTAAAGTAGTTTAATCACAAATTCTTCTACTTTTCTAAGTCCTTTTAATCACGACTGGCTTTGTAAGCATTAATCGTATTCGGAATGACAGAATTTTTAGTCATGTGCATGCCTATGTATTTGTAAGCTGCAAACTTTATTTGGTCAAGTATATCCAATGATATTTTGGGGATTTTTTCTTTGACACCAAATTTATAGACTGGGTTTACACCGTGGCAGATTGTTTTTGGCATCATAATCAACAGAGGCTTTTCTTTGTTGTTGTGATTATAAAAAATGGGTGAATAACGCTGTGTATGTTTTTCACTCTCTAAAGGTTCTGCTATCACAAGTCTCTCAGGGTCAAAGGGACTGTATACAACGTTTGGGTCTGCGTTGTAAACATTGAGACATTCATGGTCATCGGTTATGATATAAGTTTGGTTAGACATGGTTTAGTTTTAAAGAAAATAAAAACAGTTTTTTATCTTTAATAATCAAAGGGCATCGGTCTGTTGCATTCTTAGAATTCACAACCGTGTAATCTGTCACAACAATATCAGTATTTGCAATCTACACATTCTTCACAATCTTGGCATTCGATACAATTTCCCATACTAAGCAATTTACACAATAGAAACATTTGTTAGATTCTATTGTTTGTTTACATCCTTGACAATCTGTACAATATTCCCAATCAAAACAATAGTCATGATGATGTTTTTGTTGGTAACGGTATATAGTGTTTAATATTGACTTTGTGATTCTGACTTGACATCTCGGTTTTTGGTTTGGTGGCTTTGATATAAGGTGTAATGATAATTTTTCCATCTTTTCAATGAGAGTGAGAGGGTTTAAACTGCCCTGTACGTGCACTCAAATATTTTCCTAAATGCACAATACAGTCCTTAACTTACAAAACATCACTGACAAAAATAGACTGACAATTTCCCACTGAATAGGCTAATTACTTCCTATGAACTATTCATCAAATTACCTTCAAGGATCAAAGAAATTTTATTATTAGTGTACTCCATAATTTTTCAAACTTCAATCTACTGGTCCCATACACACAACTGCATGAGAACATTTTACCTAACAAAGGCATGCCTTCTGTACTGACATGGACCATAAAAATCCTTGTATACTTTGCCACAGTTACTCCTGAATCACTTTACAAATATCATTTTCGAAAATGCTTAATTTTGTTCAAACTGTCATCAAACTAATCTATAATCATCAGTGGATAAAGTAAGATAGATTAAGATAAGCAACTATTCCATTAATATGTAAAAAGTGAAGCAAAGGAAATCATGATGAAAAAATTTGTTGCAGTTACCTGTGAAAGTTGGGTGGGCACTGCCATGCGGTCCACATGGTCTGAGGCATGCAGTTTAAACACATGTACTTCATGTCTAACAGTTCAGGCAAATATGCAGGGCCTGGGTCTATGACAGTTTGGATTTAGCACAATGAAAATTAAGAAATGATGTGTAATTTCAATTATTAAAAAACCTCAAATAATGTGCCTTATTTCAAATTCAGTGTTGTTTCAATGTCCAACATTACACAAAGTCAGTGAATGTTTGTTTCCCATGACCTCTCGTAAGTTTTGGTGAGTTACAGCTAGGATGGCAAACAGCCGTAAAAGTGAGCAGTTTGTGTACATTTTGGAAACAGGGATTTAGAATTAAGATTAGAAGGGATACAACTGGGTAAAGGTAAATGGAAAATCATAACATGAATACTATTATTACGATTATATCAGTAATTTAGTTGCATGGGACCTCTTCCTTACAGTCAGAAGGAATGCCATAATTATAGTACATTGCATTTGAAAGTTAACACCAAAATGGGAAACTCTTTTCATATTTTTCTTTTCCCAGGGAATTCCTTTTCATTTCACAAATTGTGAAAAAGTGTGCCAAAAGTGGGCAAATTTTTTCACACCTTTTCACACAAGTGAGAAAATATTTTCACAGATTTCCCCCCATTGGGAAAAGATTTTCACACTTGTTTTCTCAAGTGGGAAAAGATTTTCACATATTTTCTCTGGTAGTGGGGAAATAATTTTGTAAACTTTCTTCATTAACCCTAACACTCCAAAATCCCCCGATTTCAACATGATTTTACATACACCCTTGGGGTTAGAGATAAGTAGTATTTGTGCATGTACATGTAGACATAAGGACGTTTTCTTCTCTGTGGTTTCAAACATGTGCATATCTGAATATAGAAAGAGGAGGAAAATCAGTCTGAGACAAATGTACTTTAATTCTCTGGAATAGCCAGAAGATTACTTGAGGAAGACAGCATTAAAATTTCAAGGCAGTATGTTTCTCTGTTTTGAGCAAAATACAATGTGACGGGCAAAATCAAAGCTGGCTATGGTGGAGGTCAGAGACCAGCACTGAACATCAAACAGCTGAATTACAGTAGATTCCCGTTACAGCGCTCTCAAGGGAACCTAACAGAATTGAGCGTTATAACCACACAGCCCGGCAAAGAAGCCTGGCCCCATCAAGGGTTGTGCTTCATGACCCTTTGTGGCTCCTTTGGACGGGAAAAAGAGGACATCTGAAACACTGCTCCAGTGACAGAAGTCATGAACATGGAGATGGTCGTGAATTGCTCAAGAGTCAGGCAGACTGTTTTCTTTAATAAATTGATGAAATAAAGCAGATGGAGGATGGGGAAGGAAAACCCTAGAAAAATGGAATGAGAAATTTAACGATTTGTCACCAAGATCTGTTTAATGATCTGTCACCAAGATCTGTTAACTATCAGACACCAAGAGAAAACAAGAAGGTAAGACAATCTAACACCAGGAGAAAACAATAAGGTAAGACAGCCGACACGCTGCAGGGCATGCTGGGTACAAAGCATGGTGGGTAGCCCATTGTGTGAACTCTTAGATGATGTATTGTGCCCTCCAGGGAAATATGCATAGTTAGTGGCTTGTGGGTAAGATGAGCACTGTAGACTTGACAACTTACTCTTGGCCTGTGGAAAACTGCTCCTTTTAAAGGGAAAGAGACCAGTTCATCTGCATATTGACCCTGTGTGCACATTGTTCACTCACTAGGAACACCCTGAGGAGTTTTGTGCAAGACAAATTATAAGATCTTTGATTGACCGTTGAAAATGCACAGTGTTTTTCTTGATTTCCATCCAAGCCGTTCACTCCAAACACGAAACAAGTCAGTGGAATGAAAACTGCAATAAATTTTAAATCCCCAAATCAGCCAATCTTGTGAAATTAACCATTTCCTGCTGGGTGCTTTTTAAAACTGCAGTACCTACATGTACATATGGGCAATTTTCAAAAATTTATGTTTTCAAAATTCTTTAAAAATTCATTAACGGGATGTTTACACCCATACAAATGACTGTCTGGTTGCTACTCTAATCTGACAGGCAACCTCCGCTGACGTCTAAGTATTTCAGCCAGGACTGCTGCCCAGTAAAGAGAGCCCAGAATTGTGATGTGTTATGAATTTCCTTTGTTCCCAGTGAATGCCGGTGGCATCTTTTCAAACGTGGCTGGATTAGCGTGCAGTGGTACTGTATCGTGGGGCACTTCTGTCCGCAGTGCTAATCCGTGCTATGCCAAAAACAGTAGTACACTGTTTAAAAACAATGACGGATTACCTCCAATAAATGCAAGCTGAGAAATGATGGCAATATCCAGCAGTGGGTCTTTTGTTTTGAGTACAGTCTTTTGTTACAAGGCCCATATCTTTTGTCCGATTTCAGGCACCCCGGCTACGTGTACAAACCCAAGGTACACAAAACCAGCATATGGTTTAAGTTCCAAACCAATGGTGTATTCTACCTTTCAGAAAAATTCTGTCATAAAAATAACTTCATGAAAATGAACTAATATACCTATTTATAACCCAAATGAAGAATACTTATGATAAGCAGCTATCTCAGGCTAAGCAGCATTACTACTGGCTAAAGGTTCCAATAATGAAGCCTTTTTCTTTCAAATAACGTTAAAGTCATGCAAGAGCTACCAAACCTAAGATATCTCCCTTTTCATTAATTTTCCCAACACACCTACAAAGTGCACCCACACACACATGCAACATAGGAACACAGAACAGATATGTCTTTACTCTATGGTCACGCATGGCTTCTTACCAACAAAGTTAGTTAGATAGCTGCAGTTAGTTTAATGGATGATAATAATTAAGTCTGATTAATTGGTAAAAATTCCCAAATCAAAATGACTACTGATGAGGAGAAAAAATCTACGAAATCGCTTGTTCACAAATTTAGAAATACAAACACAAACACATTCATACCTCAGTGTGCTTTGTTCCATCTGCAGACTTGAAGGTTGTGTACTGTCTCTTGATTCAGACAAACGGCTCACATCTGTAATTGAAATAAATTATAAACCATGATTGGCGTACCAAACAAATTAGTAATTTTCATAAACATATGAACAGTGTGACATTTTCAGTTCAAAAGATATCCTCTAATTCCATAAGTTTTCTATGTGTTATACATTTCGGTACCTCTCTAAACCAGTCATTTTAGTCATTCACCACAGGTCAGGTCAAGAGTTAATTTATCCCAAGCAAAGTTACAAGTTGCTTTTCCCAAGTGAGTATTCAGCCTTAAGGCTGAATTTGAAAGTTTGTATGAATATGAAAGAATTAAAAAGTTAGATGTAAAAAAAAATGGGCTCAAACAATTTGTTGCAAAAATGAATTGTGTTATTCTTGTTCTGCAAGGTTTGACAGCTGGGAAATTGGAATGGAGGTTTGGATAGATTATTAAGAATTCTGGTTGGAGCCCGGCTCCATTATTTTGAGACGCACTGTCAGGGAGAATTTCAACAAAACCAAGACATTTCATGTATGTTTGCAACACAACATGCGGCTTTTTCACATTTCTAAGCTTAAAAGTAAAAATGTCCTTGACATGTTTGCTTATGCCAAAAACATGTAGTGTTAGAAAACGTGCACAAAATCTATGGGTTCTGCATAAAATCTGTTTTACGAAATGAATGACTTATCTTGATTTCATTCAAACATTCCACACATTAGCCTTAGTTAGGCCTACTGTGTTTAGAATGAGTGCACCTGTTCATGATGGCCTAGCCCACGCGCTGTGCATACGTTCATGCTTTTGCACCATGTGACAAAAACATTGAAAATCAATATTTTTTCGATCTGGAATTTTTGCAGTCATTTCAGGTACATTTAATTCAAGGAACAGGTTGGTAGAGTATTACAGCCAAGCAAGTATTACTAAGCAAGCTCTGGTCGTGTCAAGATGCTGTGTGCATGCATGGAAATAATACTGAACGTGAACATCTGAGCGCGAGTTAAAGATGACAATATATAACAATTTTTTCGTGCATGTATGATCTCACAAAATTACAAAAACTGTGTAAAAGTAATAGGGCAAAATAATAAGTCCTCAAGGTTTTACAATCTCTCAAAGTGTGAAAAACTGTTATTAATGAATTACTCTTTGAATTAAACAACAAATATACAAATTAGTGTGGATAAGCATTTTTCCAATTGTACTTTGCATGACTTCGCAAAAAAATCCCCAAGTCCATAAAACAAAAATGTTTAAAAAATAATGCACGATGAAATAGGTCATATTTTAAATTGAATTTTACTCGGATGTCCGTTTTGCACAAAAGAGAGGTTTTTTCAATTCATGAGATCAATGATATGTTGTGTGTCAATAGTCACTATGCACAGTCACTTGTACATGTCCCAAGCTCAATCCAGTCCCTAACCCAATGCCTTGATGGCAAGTTGTCCCAAGCCAGTGGAACCCATTATGGTGATGATGAAACAAGCAAAAAACATATTCCATTGGCCAGTGCATGACATTTGTCATGTTGAAAGACCAACTCCAACGATGTTGATTTTTCTCATATTGGATCCTATTCTGAAGAACCAAGTCTAATAAAACTGGCACTTATCAATATCTCCCTTGCAATACATGTTTTTGTGTTATAATAAAACAGAGGTTTTGTACTTATTTCATAGCATGTACTAGGCTAATTATACACATGTCCATGTACTGTACAACTGTACAATCACAGTAAACATCGTACCAAAGAAAGTATTGAAATAATGAAGTCAATGTGAATCGCTTTACTGAAATGTCCCTGCTGTTTTTCTTGTGTATGAGCTGATTTTGACACTAATATCAGGAGCCCCAATTTACTTATGTCTTACGGTTAGTTTTATTACCCCTTGTGGGCCAACTGTGCCTTTCCCGCAACCAGTGGTAAGCAGGGCTCAAGGAGGACTAGAACAAGGGCGGATCCAGCCTCATTAACATACAGAAACACACAGGGGTGAGGGTTCCATGGCCCCCTTTTGTTCCGGCCTGTCCTTCGTATTCCTGTATTTTAATGGGGCTGGATCCGCCTGTCGAGACGGAAGGCCCACTTGGCTGTTTCCTTGACAGAGAATGGACCTATGTACTGATCTTTATGATAATGTTTACACTCTGTTTCCATGTGTGCTTTCCTATGGTACTCAGTGGACTGTGCCCCCCCACCCTCCATGCGTGGAGGGAAAGGTGGGGTGCGAGAAGGGAAAAGGGGGTGCGGAAACAAATTTGCGTGGGGAGTATTCAGTATTGTTGAGTCAAAATCGAGGTTCAAGAACGAAAAAGAGGGGTAAAAGAAGGGAAAAGTGGGATGCGGGAGTAAATTTGTAGTGTGCAAAGTATTCAGTTTTGTCGAGTCAAAAGCGGGGTGTGAGAACGGAAAAGAGGGGTGCGAGAAGGGAAAAGAGGGGTGTGAGAAGGGAAAAGAGGGGTGTGAGAAGGGAAAAGAGGGGTGTGGGTGCAAATTTGCATAGTGTTGAGCCTTCAGTTTTGTCAAGTTAAAAGTGAGGTGCCTAAAGGGAAAAGAGGGGTGCGAGAAGGGAAAAGTGGGGTGTGAGAAGGGAAAAGAGGGGTGCGGACGAGAATTTGCAATGTGTTGAGCTTTCAGTCTTGCTGAGTCAAAAGCGGGGTGCGTGAATGAAAAAGAGGGCTGCGAGAAGGGAAAAGAGGGGTGAGGGCACGAATTTACGTGTGGGGAGTATTCAGTATTGATGAGTCAAAAGCGGGGTTCAAGAACGGAAAAGAGGGGTGCGAGAAGGGAAAAGAAGGGTGCGGGCGTGAATTTGCAATGTGTTGAGTCTTGTCAGGTCAAAAGTGGGGTGCGAGAGGGGAAGAGAAGGGGCGCGGGTGTCAATTTGAAGCATGTTGTGTCTTCACGTTTGTTGAGAAAAAGAACAAAGGGACTGCATGCGGTATTGTCTTTGAAGCTGGTGGTTGTTGGTCTGTCAGTCAGTCAAATTTTTTTTTGTTTTTGCTTTGTTGGATCGTCACCTTCGTTGTTGCTACTTAATGTTGCCCAAATACACACTCAAAACATCAATCCCGAGGGTTTTCAGTGGATAGAGCTTTTCTGTTGTAGTTTTCCTTTTCTTCTCTGGCAATGCACGTCACTCCTTGCAAATGTTTTGATTTGCAGCTGTAAAATTCACCGTACTTGCTAGAGCTTGTTGCAAAATAAATAAGCAGAGTACATGTATTTTGATAACGGTGACTTTAAGCAGTGGTCTTGAGATTTTGTTTTATTGGATTGACATGTTACAGGTTCACATTTATGAGACGGGAAACAGTGCTTTTCAAGCATCATCGTCAACGTCAAATGGATTTCGTAATGAATTAAAATTCATAGCCATATTGTTGCTCGATCAAACTTCATTTTTACTATATTTCAGAATCCCCTTTTTATGACATATGTATGTTTATAACCGTTTTCTTTCTTTCTGTGTCACCGGGGGGGGGCAGGAAGATTCTTCAATGATTGGAGCAGTTGTGGCGGAGCATCCTTCAGTTTTTGCATGCCAAGTTGGTAGTTATTGACACCTATATCATGGCCATCTCTGGCACAGTGGTTAAAGTAGTCATTGGATACAACAATCCACCCCCTCCGATATCCTTCTGCAAGATTGTGTGCAACGTGTCCTGGATCCTTATTGTACTCAGCTTGAGATGACACAACTATCCACCTTAAAGGAAATTGTTCATCTGGCAACGTGCTACCTCTCCATACCCTTCCACCAAGGCGTCTTATCTAAGAAGATACTGTATCCTGGGAAGCACTCAGCTTGCCAGCAAGGACGAACATTTGGTTAGCTAGAATGCTCTTCGTCTGCAGTGCGTCTTCATTTCCAGTGCCATCTTTAGATGCTTGATCTTCTGCCATACTCAAATGTCTGTTTTCTCCATCGCTGTGACTCTCTTCATCAACATCATATATTGTCAGATGGTCTTTAACAAACTCATCAAAAGCCACAACAATTTCAGATGGACAAAAACATCTCCACTGCCATTCGAACAGAGCTTGCAAAACTGTGGGTCTGTTTTTACCACTACCTCTCAAAGTGTGTTGATAAAAATATGTCATGTTTAAGTAATGCTGGTGCTCACCGGCTTCTTCGCTAGCCTCAGCATGGAATGAAAAGGGAAATTCTCCAACAGTATTGGCACAACGTCAATGAGTTTCATCATGTATGGAGTACATCAAACTCCCCAAGCTGTCCTCCTTGCTCACCCAGATTCACCTCCAGATGGGGCCGTGTGTCTTTAAGAAAGAAAAGATTGGTCATCCATACCTCTTTTGGGCTATGAAGTTTCACGCCATTAAGAACCTGCGAGTTGTTGATGCAAGTGAAGCCTATCAGACGGGTTTGCTCCCTTCCTAACTTGCTAGGTCTGCACCCTGAAGCCTTTGAGTACTTTCCTTTACGCTCATTGCCAGTGCCAAACAAAAGTCTTCCTTCCCCCCATTGTGCACTCTTGCTACTATGTTAGCGATTTCCTTCTCTTGTGACTCATTTCTTAGAGTTCTGAAAGCCTTTGTCTGCCTATGTTCTTGAGATTGGGCCTCGCGGGATATCTGAATGAGCTTGAGTGTCACGGAGCCCTGGATGCCTCCTGGTGCAATTCTGCCCATTTTGCTCAGGCTGACCAGCTTTTTCGACGTTTATTTCTACCTCATTGTCTTGAAGTTCATTATTATGACCTACGTCCACCTCATCATCTTCATCACTCACTTGAACTCTGACCGCACGTTCACCATCAACCACATCATCAATGGGAGGGAATCCTCCTATCAGAGACTGAACACATTGCCCTCTTACTCATGCAATTTTGTCTAAAAATTTGTGACTTTCCCTCTTCGTTTACAACACCCTTGCAATCTTGAAGTGGAGCTCCACCAAATAGAGGGGCAAGAAATGCCTCAATGGACAAAGCTTTCCTGTAATTGCCAGATGTATTAATATGGTTCTGAACATTCAGTTTTTGTTTAGCCAGAAAGTTTTTGAACAGACCCC